AAAAAAAAAAAAAAGAATTAATTATATTCTGGGGAACTCACAGGGACAGTTCTACCCTTCTATCCGGTCGCCATGAGTAGGCACCAATTCCGATGGCAGCGAGTTTGGGTTTTTTGTTTATAATGAAACAAAAGGGATTTTGCATTGAGTTATCCCAAAATGCCATACTGTGTAAAACTACTCCTGTAAGCCCTTATACATGTAAGAGAGACTTTCCATTTTCTACTTGCTGTCAATTCTCATTTCATGGAAACCATCTTTATACCATCTTACATTTTGTAAGTACCATCTTACATTTTGTCAGTTGGCAAATAACACATTTATAATTACAGTACCCATCCTAATAAATATGCTATGATCTAGGTGCTCAATAAATATCTCTTGCATAAATTATCTTTGAAATATGCAGAATCTTAAAATTAGCTCATTTAAAAAGTACTGACCTATAAAGGATGATTTTTTTTCCAATATTTTTTTCCCAATATTCTTGCTTGTCCCTACCTCCCCCATTAGGCTTGTTATAATTTCCCCATTTGTGCTTCATTTTAGATATGCTTCTGTTTTGATTATTATATTAAGATTAGATTTGACTATCTGTAGCAAGGAGAGACAACTACAGAGTAACAGTGGCATAAAGAAAGGATGCATTTATGTGTTTAAGAAATCCAAAATTAATCTAGGGCTGGTATGATATTTCACAGAGACAGAGATCCAGTCTCCTTATTCCAGCAAAAAGAGTCACGTTTGTATTTAGTCATGCTTTCAAAAAATATGGGATTTTTTTTTTTTTAATGTTTGCTTCTGTGCCCAATATTGCCTCATGATCCAATGGGGCTGCTGGAGCACCAGCCATTATGTCTGCATTCCATTGTCAAAGAGAACAAAGAAGGGAGCACTCACTCTCCTTAAGAAATGTCCCCAGTGTTTGCAAATACCAAGTCTGCTTTCATCCTGCTGGCAAAAACTTAGTCATTTGGGTACATTAAATGGCTAGGAGGCTGGAAAATTAAATTTCAGTTCTGAGGAAGGAAAAAAGGGAAAATAGATAATGGAGAGCAATTAGCAGTGCCTTTCTGAGTTAAATATCATGTTGCTTTTTTTTTGTTTTGTTTTCAGATTCAAATGACATCTCATTGAACTCTTTAGGGATTCTTTTTTTTTTAAATCACTTTATTGGGGGCTCATACAACTCTTATCACAATCCATACATACACCATTGTGTCAAACACACGTATACATTTGTTGCCATCATCATTCTCAAAACATTTGCTTTCTACTTGAGCCCTTGGTCAGCTGATGATTTTTTTTTAATTTTTTAAAAATCATTTTATTAGGGGCTCATACAACTCTTATCACAATCCATACACACATCAATTGTGTAAAGTGCAACTGCACATTCATTGCCGTCATCATTCTCAAAACATTTCCTCTCCACTTAAACCCCCGACATTAGGTCCTCATTTTTCCCCTCCCTCCCCGCTGCCCCCTCCCTCATGAGCCCTTGATAGTTTATAAATTGTTATTTTGCCATATCTTGCCCTGTCCGACGTCTCCCTTCACCCACTTTTCCGTTGTCCGTCCCCCAGGGAGGAGGTCACATACAGTTCCTTGTAACCAGTTCCCTCTCTCCTACCCGCCCTCCTTCTACCCTCCCTGTTTCGCCACTCACACCACTGGTCCTGTAGGGCTCATCGGCCCTGGATTCCCTGCATTTTCAGTTCCTATCTGTACCAGTGTACATCCTCTGGTCCAGCCAGACTTGCAAGGTAGAATTTGAGTCATGGTAGTGGGAGTGGGGAGGAAACATTTAGGAACTAGAGGAAAGTTGCATTTTTCATGGTTGTTACATCGCGCACCCTGACTGGCTCATCTCCCCTAGACCCCTCTGCAAGGGGATCTCCAGTGGCCTACTAATGGGATTTGGGTCTCCACTCTGCACTCCCCCCATCATTCACTATGGTAAGATTTTTTGTTCTGATGATGCCTTACACCTGATCCCTTCGACACCCTGTGGTTGCATAGGCTGGTGTGCTTCTTCCATGTAGGCTTTGTTGCTTCTGAGCTTGATGGCCGCTTGATTACCTTCAAGCCTTTAAGACCCCAGACGGTATACTTTTTGATAGCCGAGCACCATCAGCTTTCTTCGCCACATTTGCTTATGCACCCATTTGTCTTCAGTGATCCGTTTGACACCTCGTGATCACACAGGCTGATAAGTTCTTCCATGTGGGCTTTGTTGCTTCTCAGCTAGATGGCCGCTTGTTTACCTTCAAGCTTTTAAGACCCCAGACGCTATATCTTTTGATAGCCCAGCACCATCAGCTTTCTTCACCACATTTGCTTATTCACCCTCTTTGTCTTCAGTGGTTGTGTCGGGAAGGTGAGCATAATAGAATGCCAATTTAATAGAAGAAAGTATTCTTGCGTTGAGGGAGTACTTGAGTGGAGGCCCAATGTCCTTCTGCTACCTTAATACTAAACCTATAAATATAGGCTCATAGATCTATTTCCCCTTCCTCATATAAATATATTTGCATATGTACATGTCTTTATCTACACCTCTATAAATGCCCTTTTCCTCCCAGCTTTCTCTTTAGGGATTCTTGAGGTTTTTAAAAAATTTTGTTACAGAAAAATATCTGTAATAAAATGTTTAATTAAAAAAAAAAAGCTTAATTCTATGTGTGAAGAAAGATGTTACGATTGACCTGCCATTAGGATAAACATGCTTTGAGTTGTTTTTCCAGAACTGACTAGAGACCTATACAAATTCAACTTGCTTCATTTATTCAGCAAACCTCTATTCCACATAAAAAGTGGAATCCATACTTAGTTGTGCTTTCAAAAATAATGATTTTTGAAAGATTGGGATTAAGTTGCTGATGTCATTATTTCATTGCCAGCATTTTAAATATTGATTTGAGTCTTTTGTAAAACTGAAATCAACCTTAAAAATACTCCATGCTTGGCTCTCAGTTTCTCCGCCGTCCTGAGTGTGGTGTTTCTCCGACTTCACGATGTTGTATTTTTTTCCAGAGTTCAGTCTGGTTTATTGAGCACATTACAGAAGAGGGGTCAGTCAAAAAGACCAAAGCCCATGTCATCGTCAGATTCTTCAGACTCTTCTTTCTTGGCTTCCACTTTCTTCTCCTCAGCTGGGGCAGCAGCCGTGGTGGGTGCAGGTCCTCCGGCTGGTGCGGCACCAGCAGCTGGGGCAGGGCCACCAGCCCTTGCATTACAGATGAGGCTCCCGATGTTGACGTTGGCCAGGGCCTTGGCGAACAGGCCGGGCCAGAAGGGCGGCCTTAATGAGGGCGTTGATCTGTCCGCCGTGAAGGTCACCTCGTCGTCGTGCAGGATGAGGGCCGAGTAGATGCAGGCGAGCTCGGAGACAGAGACCATGGCGCGGGAGTCCTGGGCTGGCGGCTGCTGGGCGCGGTGCTAGTCACCGGATGAAGTGAGGGCCTCACCCCAACGCGGCCTTAGCTTCCTCGGAAGAACCGAGCATCTTAATGGCAGCTGAGGAAAGAGCCACGATGTTGTCTTATAAGACTTTCAGGATCAAGAGATTCCTAGCGAAGAAACAGAAGCAGAATCGGCCCACTCCCCAATGGATTCTAATGAAAACCAGTAATAAGATCAGGTACAACTCCAAGAGAGGACATTGGAGAAGAACCAAGCTGGGTCTGTCAGGAGCTCCGGAGGGATGGCACAAATGGCCGCATTTGCCCAGGCTTACTAGCAGTCTGTCCTGCTGAGTTGCATTAAGACTTTTGCAACCATCTGATCAATTGAACTTGTATTGGCAAATAATCTGGTTTCTTCCTTGGTTTTTATGCTCCCGCATCCAGAGTTTAACAATAAATAATGTAAGGCCGTGCTTGCTCTGATCTAGTTGGTTTCTGTCGTATAGCTATCTAAGCATATGCTTGGTTAAGTTCCCATTGCCGGGAATGGGCTTTGTAGATCTTGGAGGCTTTGAGACTTAAGGGTTATTTTCAGGTTTTTGGCAGCACAGTGTGTTAAAAATAACCCCTTTCATCTACAACTTGGCAGGTAGAATCCAGTGCAGCTGGTGGAAACCTTCTGAGAGAAAAGGGTCCTCCGAGCTGCTCTTCGCGCTCCATCTCAGCGGTTCTGGTTTCCTGTTGCTTTCTCAGGGCTTGAACTGACTCCGATAAAGTGTTTTTCACTTCCTGCCTTTTGAAATCTCAAGTCAGATATGGACCACCAAAGCCAACTGAAAGAGTAAAAGCATATTGTGTAAGCATGTGCTTCCCAAAGCATTGTCTGTCTTCTTCGTGAATGTATGGAGTATACAGTGACTTCATGAGAGTAAGGCTTATGTAGTTTTGGGTAATGGTGATGGTGTTAGTTGCCTCTGGTGTTAGTCGCTCTGGCTCATGGCAAACCAAAGCATTGCTCAGTCCTGCACCATTTTTAAGATTCTTGGTATGTTTGGGTCCATTGTTGCAGTTACTGTGCCAATTCTTCATGGTCAGCGGTGCCCTTGGATGTTGTCAGTCCTCAACTTCAATGTCCTTTTCCAACAATTGGTCTTTATTGATCATGTGTCCAAAGTGAGTCCAAGTCTCACCATCCCTGCTGCTAAAGAATATTCTAGTTGTATTTCTTCTAAAACTGGTGTGTTTATTCTTCCCGCCTTCTGTGATAGATTCAATATCCTTCACCAATACCAGAGTCAGGATATAGCAACTCCTTCTGACTTCCTTTTCACGATCCAGCTTTCACATGCGTGGAGGGAGAAGAAAGTGAAGTGGTCAGTGATTTTGTTCTGCTTGGACCAGCTTCTATAGATGCAGCACTCAAGAAACCAAATGCTTTCATTGCACTGGGGAGAAATACTGCAAAGGATGTCTTTCTTTTCTTTTTTAAAAAATAGAGAAAACATTTTGGATGAGTAAAGTAAACCTGGCCAACTAAAGGTCTTTTCATTCGCCTCATGTGCATGCAGAAGCCTGATATGCAGCTGTCAGGATTATTGTGTTCTGAAAAAAGACGTCCTTGAAACTAAAGTCACACTCCTGGTGTGGGTGTGGAATGAGGCTGTGTGGGACCCAGCACCACATCCTGATGGTCCTAAGGGATGGTTGTGTACTTGAAGGGAAGAAATTAAGAGACAGACAAAAAGTTGGGGTGCTCACTTCTGCCATGGCATCAGAAACCAGGGCAGGAGATAGAGAGAATGTATTCTTATATCAACTTAAGTAGCCTTGGGGCATGCAAGCCCCCCTAATTGCAGGTAACCATATGCCTAACAAAGTGGGCTATACCCTAACCCTCGAGGTCCCTGCGTTCATTGGAGGAGTGACCTAATATCAGTGCTGGGGCTAGGTAAGGGGGAGTGACTATCCCCTGAGCAAGGAAAACAATAGCAACATGTCTGCTCCTAGAGATAAAACTGCCGGCCAGATAGCAATCAGCGTGTGCTTGTAAGAAGTAACTTTAAGGTAGCACGATTATGGGAGGATATTGTGGGGATTCATCTTAATTATGAGATTGTGATTAAGACTCATCTCTAACTCACAAGTGTGAAGGCCTCCCTCCACCCAGAACCCTGGCCTCCGAGGCTTCTTAAATGAGAGAATAAAGAATTTGCCCTCATATACTCTCTTCTCATTCTTCAGTTTCCCACAAGGCTCTCCTAAAAGAATAGACATTTAGCATGAAACATAGAGGGAAAGCTTTTAACAAGTGGAAAACAGGGAAGCAAATCTTGGAAGATGATTTGATGCAGGCAAAAGAAAACATTTCATACTGTAACTCTGAAGACGGGAAACATCTGTGTATTCTTACATTTATGTAAGTGGGGGGAGGCTCAAATGGACTTAAACAACAATGAGGCTGTAGTGGTTCATAGAACTGGAAGATCAGAGGTTCAATAATGTCACGCCACCCTCTCCACGACATTGACATAGATTCAGTGACGTCACTCCATGTATTATCTCCCTGTGTTGTACAGGGACTGGCTACTCGCCAAGACCAGGTGCTAGAAGTTGTTGGACCTACCGTTTCCCTTGATCATACCTAGCAGAAGAACTCTCTGTGATTGGACTACCTCTGAACCAATCTCTAATCCTAAAGAAAGGACAGGCAATGAATGATTGGTTTAGGTCTAGTTACCTGAGCTCATTACTGAGACAAAGTATCATTCTTAACTCTGAAGCCCAATGTCAATGTCCTTCAAAGAAATATTTTATAATGCCCCTTAATTGTCTTTAAATGGAATTCCTTGACAATGTGACCTACTCATGTCAGTATGGTATTGTTATTCTGTGAGGTGTTATGTCTGTTCTGACTCATGCCCAGTGCTCTGCCACCTCACAGTTGTTGTTTGAGCCCATTGTTGCAGCTACGGTGTCAATCCATCTTGTCGAGGGCCTTCCTCCTTTTCACTGCCCCTCTACTTTACCAAACAAGATGTCCTTTCCTAGAGACCGGAAATTGTGATGTTAGTCAATCTTGAAAGGACAAATGTTGTATGAGACCACTACTCACAGGATACACACAAAGACAACGTCTGGTTATATGAATCAGTCTGGTCGCCCAAGCAACGTTGTGGCGTGACTGTCTAATGCTTATGAACCACTTATCATTTCCTGGTTAGTATACCTCAAAAATCACTTCCGCAGAAGAGTCCTCACCTCAGCTGGGGTCAGTGTTTCACTTAGCAGGACCTTGAAGAGGACCGGTTAGTTCCTGCCAAATATCATTGTCCCAGGGTCATCCTATCTAATAGACACTCCTACAGTGGTTGTCAGTGATCCTCAATGGAAATTGAGGACGAAAGAAGAGGGAAATATGTCTTAGAAAAGGTGATTTCGCATCTTTTTTTTTTAATTAAACGATCATTTATGGGGGGAGCGGGGAGGGAGGGGGAAAAATAAGGAACTGATACCAAAGGCTCAAGTAGAAAGCAAATGTTTTGAGAATGATGGCAACAAATGTACAAATGTGCTTGACACAATGGATGTATGTATGGATTGTGATAAGAGTTGTATCAGCACCCAAAAAATGATTTTTAAAAAAAGATCATTTTATTGGGGGCTCAACAATCCATACATTAATTGTATCAAGCATATTTGTACATATGTTGCCATCATTATTTTCTAAACATTTACTTTCTATTGAGCCCCTGGGATCAGCTCCTCTTCTTACAACCCCTTGATAAATTATAAATTATTATTATTTTCATATCTTACACCGACCGCTGTCTCCCTTTCCCCATGGTTTCTGTTGTTCATCCCCTGGAGGGGGGAGGGGTATGTGTCCACCATAGTTTCCCTCTTCCTGCTCTCCTCTCCCCACCTTCCTCCTACCCTGCTGGTACGCTACTCCCATACCTATTCCTGGACTCCATGTCATAAGCTCTAATCTTTTATGTGTACCTGTGCTCCGCAGTGAAAGGCAAGACTGGGGTCATGATAGTGAGGGATGAGGACGCCTCAAGGAACCAGAGGAATATTGTGTATTTCATCAATGCTATACTGCATCCTGGTTGACTCATCCCTTCCTTGTGACCCTTCTGTAAGGGGATGTCCCATTATCTACAGATGGGTTTTGGGTCTCTGCTCCCACCCCACTCGTTCTCAGCAATATGGTTTTTTGTTTGTTTGTGGTCTTCTGATGCCTGTTACATGATCTCATCGACAACTCATGATCACACAGGCTGGTGTGCTTCTTCCATGTGGGCTTGTTGCTATTCTGCTAGATGGCTGCTTGTTTAACTTCAAGGCTTTAAGACCCCAGGTGCTTTATCTTTTGATAGCCGGGCATCATCCACTTTCTTCACCATATTTGCTTATGCACCCATTTGTCTTCAGCAATTCTGTTAGTGAGTAATCTAGAGAGGGGCTCCCACCTGTTCCTGGGGAAAACATTACTTGCGTAGATCACCCCCCAATGGGAGAATCCACCTTGGAGTACATTGCTAAGCTTGCATTTTGACCGAATTTCCTTTCTGTCCTCGACAACCCTGGACTTGTGCTATAGACTATCCTGACTTTAGGTTTTGGCTTTTTTGAGGTGTACAGTATTCTTCATAGGCCACATCAGAAGGATCCAATTTGGAAACCCCTGTAACTGAACCAGACTTTACCTTAAATATACCTGTTGCAGTTAAAAGGGATGGGAATACTCCTTTGGACTTAATGCTGAAATACCCTGGGGTGAGAAGAAGCAGATGACTGCTACCTCAGTGTTTTGGCCTTGGAAATCATTGGGTTTGAGCAAATCTCCTTCTTTCTTTCTTTTTTTTTTTTTTTTTAAATCTCCTTCTTTCAAGGATGTTCAATAATTGACAATATAAGGCAAGCAAACATTTGCTATTTCCACATTTTCTTTGGTTTTTGCAATATGTCTTTGTTTTGTGGGCATAATTTTACCTAAGTGAATGAGCATTATAAAAATGTTTGCCTTGTCTTGAAGACAAACAAGTAGCCATCTAGCTGAGAAGCAACTAAGCCCACATGGAAGAACACCAGCCTGTGTGATGACGAGGAGTCGATAGGATCAGGTATCAGGCATCAAAGAACAAAAAAGTCATATCATTGTGAATGAGGGGGAGTGCGGAGTGAGACCCAAAGCCCATCCATAGGCAACGGGACCCTTACAGAAGGGTCCCAGGGAAGAGAAGAGCCAGTCAGGGTGC